ATATATATATATATATATATATATATATATATATATATATATATATATATATATATATATATATATATATATATATATATATATAAAACTTTTGGTATATATACCAAAAGTACCTATTTTAAAAAGTCTCAATACAGTCGAAATTTATTATAACCAGAAATAAAAAATTTGGTAGCCATTATTTTTGTATATACTAAATATATGCCTAAAATAATTTTTTAGGTTTCTCAAAATCAACAAGTTTCTAAAAATTAAATAGTTTCCTACTTTGGGGAAACAACAAAATAGAATTTCATACATTACTTACTAGGTGTTTCTAATGATAAATTTTGGCAAAACGGTAAGCCAAACTTGGCAAAACAGTAATCCAAACTTTAAAACTTGCTTTTACTCAAAAAAAATTTGAATGACATTTTTTGACGTAACTTAAGAAGAAATCAATCCAATACATTAAAATTTTACTACAATACTAATTGTCTAATTGATAATTTGATAAAAATGTTTGATTACTTTTTGATAGAAATTTGGAAGCTTTAACTAGAAGTTTAAATCCAGTGAAATCTGATGAACTCTTATTAGTTAATACCATACCAAAGAGTATTAGTTAATACCATACCAAACTTAGAGATTTAATTTAAATCAAGCATATATAAATATGTTAAAGTATTTGTAGAAGAATTAACAAACTCCTGCTAGTCTGAGCAAATGCAATGTATTGAATAGTTTTTGTGTTCCATTACAGGAAAAATGCCCGACATTCCAAAAACTTATGAAGACTGCAGAAAAACTGTCTTCTTTACGTGCATGAAAAATTGTAACAGACAAATTACAGATATTATGAAGGAGAACCAATTTCCTACTCAAACAAAAAACAAACTTCACTAATCCCAGAGTTCTATCTGGAATTTACAACTCTTGCAGAACAAACTTGCAAAAATAAATCAGTGGTGAGCTTACCAGACTCCTCCAACTTTCAAAGCATCAATATCACAATAAAGCCCTAGAATGTTCATGCTTAATTTGTTAAATTGGTAGATCAAATTACAATCAGGCTCCTCCTGTTGCATCATGTGCACCGAGCAGCAATCTACAAACTTCTTCCCAGACTTTTAAAAAACTTTACAACACTCAAAAAGGGGTTTCCTCACCAGTGCACAAAAGGTTCAAAATTTGAAAATTTGAATAAGATATGCAGGGTAGAAGACTAATGCCCCTCACTCCTGGATGTTCTGCTAAAACTCAGAAAAGGACCCTATGCTCTCCACAACCAACATGATCAAAGTTCAAATTAACACTGGAGTCCTTTTTCACTACATCAACTAATTATGATGCTTTAACAAAAAGGTGCCTAGGTGTTTGGAGAAAGAGGGATTTCCAATTTTGGTGATACTCAATCAGTATTACTAAATTGGGATTGATAGTGGTGGAAACTTCTTGAAGTTCAGCTTAAGCATCATAGACACCATCTCACACATAAACTGCATTGATCTTCATTGCTTTCACGTCTCTAGATTCTGGTGTATAGCAACAACTGGTTGTGGCTAGAACCAAAAACCTATCAGAAAACTACAAAATCCTTAATTGTTGCTCATTTGGGGATTGTCAGCACTCCATTCTTATTTGCGTGTGACACAAAAGTTGCTACCATCCTATGTAAAATTCAAACTTACTCCAGTTACACCCATGCTGATGGTGTGACATCACCTCAAACAAACCGCAGTCAAGAAAACCAAGAACAATTGAATCAAAAGAACTCATTTTAAGCTCTACAGTTCACATTCAATAGGAAGCAACTTCCAGGCAAAGAAGTACCTAAATATGATTTATAAACCTCTCATCCCACCAGATGATGCTTCAAAAATGAAACTTATTCCTCCAAAACCACCTTTTACTTGGAGTGGTAAATTACAAAGGTCTTCAGAGAATCTGGAAAGGAACCATTAAATGGCCTTTAAAGTTGTATTTAAACATTAAACCCTAACACAGTGGAGAACTTGTTGGAAATAAATGCAAAAAGCTTCTCAACAATATAAATCTCTTGGGTGAGCTTGTGATTAAATATCAAGTTGCTCCTGAACTTCATCAAGGCTTTCAAACACTTTAGAAATGTTATTCATTCTTTCTTTAGAAACAATCTATCCTTAGATTTTAACACATTTCAAGAATTCTACATGACATTGTGGTCAAAAAAAAAAACTACAAAAGTTTAAAAAAACTACAAAAGTTTATAGTATACACCACATCAAAGAGTTCATCAAATTCACAACACTGGATTTTGTCGTTATAGTGAGCAATCATCTTGATTCAGTCTTTATCCCTTACTGGGCAAGATATAAAAGAAGTTTGGGCAACACTATGTTAACTATGGAAAGTAGTTATTTGACTACAGTTTCTCAACTGCAGCAGGAAGCATCTTTAGATCAAAGGCTGAAAAATAAAAAGATTTCGATTCAATATCAAATGTGTGCTTATTTTCAAATACTGATAGCTTTTATGTAACTTTATTTGTAAAGAGTGTCTTGTTCAAAACAAATTAAAACCTGAAACTTTGAAATGTGATCAAGAATAAATTTGTATTCTAAAAATAATTTACGATCAGAAGAAAAAAATTAAGACTTTTCATGATGCAATATATATATATATATATATATATATATATATATATATATATATATATATATATATATATATATATATATATATATATATATATATATTAGGGCCCTGCGAAGCAGGCTTAACTAAGCTTACAAAGGTTAACCAGGGCAAGAAGTATCAATAAAGAGATTATACAATTTATTTTATTTTGAAATATGTAATATTAAATATATCAGCGATTTTAATAAATGTTTCAGACTGCCATCTCACAAAATAAAGCTACAATTGATTTGATTTTGTAAGTATTTTTTAAAGACACTTTCTTTCTAAAAGAACGTTTTTGATCAGACATAAGTTTAACTTGAAATAATTGATCTATAGTTTAATGCTTTATAATTTGTAATTTTAAATATATATATATATATATATATATATATATATATATATATATATATATATATATATATATATATATATATATATATATATATATATATATATATATATATATATTTTTAAAATTACAAATTATAAAGCATTAAACTATAGATCAATTATTTCAAGTTGATATATATATATATATATATATATATATATATATATATATATATATATATATATATATATATATATATATATATATATATATATATATATATATATATATATATATATTAGGGCCCTGCGAAGCAGGCTTAACTAAGCTCTCAAAGGTTAACCAGGGCAAGAAGTATCAATAAAGAGATTATACAATTTATTTTATTTTGAAATATGTATTATTAAATATATCAGCGATTTTAATAAATGTTTCAGACTGCCATCTCACAAAATAAAGCTACAATTGATTTGATTTTGTAAGTATTTTTTAAAGACACTTTCTTTCTAAAAGAACGTTTTTGATCAGACATAAGTTTAACTTGAAATAATTGATCTATAGTTTAATGCTTTATAATTTGTAAAATGTAGACTACATTGAAACATTGAAAAAATAGAAATTCAGTTAAAAAACTCTATAAAAACTCTAAAAAATTTATATAAAAATAATTATATAAATTATATAATCAAAATTATAATATATATATATATATATATATATATATATATATATATATATATATATATATATATATATATATATATATATATATATATATATATATATATATATATATATCAAAAATATACAACTAAAAAATCTTTTTAACATAACAATGACAAGAACAAAGGTTTTCAAGGAATGGTAGATTTTTTGGAATTTTATTGTTTTCATAATTTTTATCATAATTTTTTAGTATTAGGGGTTTATCATTAGGGGTAGAAAGTTCATGTGCTGACAAAATACTAAAAATTTAAAAAGAATAAACACATAATAAAAAAGAATAATAAATACAATAAATACAGAAAAAAAATCTCAGTAAAAGGTGAGAGAATTTATTTGTGTAGAAAAATTTAACTTAAAGTTTAACTTGTGCTTATCATTTTTCTCTGCGCTGCGACGTTCATCAAGGTTCATGTTTCAGAGTTATAGAATAAAAATATTTAATTGTTTACTTTTATAATCAAATACTTAATAGTTTAACATATGGTTTTTTACATGGTTTACTTAGTTTTTTATTTGGTATAATTGTATGACAACAGATTTCAAATATAATTTCAAATTTTTTTTGTAGTTTTATGTTTCTTACAAAGCATTTATGGAATATAAAATTTTTATTTCTTATAAAGCTCTTTTAGGTGGTTGAAAAAGTTACAACCTTGATATTAACTAATAAGAATTAATACTTTGATATGACTGATCACATTCATGATGACAGTGACTGATAATTGCCATAATGATGAAATGATAAAGCCCATTAAACATAAACAATGTTACATTAAACATAAACAATGTTTACATCAGCTTAAATATTTTCAGGCCTAAATAAAATATTTTTAATCTTCATTTAACCAACACAAGGTTTATAAAGGTAAGTGAAAAATTTAGCATCGTGATTGCTGGTATGCTGATGAAAAATATGTCTAATATTTTTTTCATTATATATGAAAATTATGATGAAAAAAAATATGATGAAAAAAATGTTGCCAAAACAATTTGTATATTTGCTTATATATGAAAGGCATAATGTTTAAAAAAAATGTTATGTTAGTAAAAAATGTCTTACATATTAATGTCATAAAAATATTTGTTACGATAGGTTTTCTATATGTGATAGGGATCAAACTCAAAGTTGTTTAAGAGTGCTTAAACAACTTTGAGTTTGATCCCTACCACGTCCCTCGTAGTAACAGGCTTAACTTGTTTTTCTGCGCAGCGACCTTGTTTCTCAAGGTTTGTGTTTCAGAGTTATAGAGTTAAGAAAGAGTTGTAACTACAGACTCCTCAACTATAGTGGCTTGATGTACTGAATGTTCTTTGCCTAAAGTAACTATGGTTACTTTAGGCAAAGAACATTCAATACATCAAATTTTAATAGCTCTTTTTATCTATTATAAACATATATTTCTCTATAAAAACTATATATATATATATATATACATACACACATATATATATATATATATATATATATATATATATATATATATATATATATATATATATATATATACATATATATATATATATATATATATATATATATATATATATATATATATATATATAGTTTTTATAGAAAAATATATGTTTATAATAGATAAAAAGAGCATATTCTATAACAAATAAAATTTCCTTAATCATAATGGATAATTACCAATTATCTTATTGTGCAACGGTTTATTTTGTTCAATCTATCTTTTTATGTTCAATCTACTTGTATGAATATAAGAATTATACAACCAACATGTAACAACATGTTAATAACAAATAATGACATAACAGTTTTTGTTTTAAATTGAATCTTGAATCAAAGCAGGTCTTGAATCGTGATTCAAATCACGTTTCGAATCACGTTTCGAATCGACATTTTGAAGTCTAAATATAAGCATTTTTTATTTAATAATACATATTTCAAAATAAAATAAATTGTATAATCTCTTTATTGATACTTCTTGCCCTGGTTAACCTTTGTAAGCTTAGTTAAGCCTGCTTCGCAGGGCCCTAATATATATATATATATATATATATATATATATATATATATATATATATATATATATATATATATATATATATATATATATATATATATATATATATATATATATATATATATATATATATATATATATATATATATATATATATATATATATATATATATATATATATATATATATATATATATATATATATATATTTATATATATATATATATATATATATATATATATATATATATATATATATATATATATATATATATATATATATATATATAAATATATATATATATATATATATATATATATATATATATATATATATATATATATATATATACATATATATATATATATATATATATATATATATATATATATATATATATATATATATATATATATATATATATGTGCGTGGTTAATCAACAATCAATGATCATCACCTTTTATAAAAATTGATACTTTGAACTCTTAAAACTAGTTAAGGCCGATCAATAAATTAGATTACCAACTTTTGAAAATCAAACTTAATAATAAAAATGATTTTAAGATTTAAAAAAGAATCTTAAAGTTATTAAATTACCATTAAAATTAAAATGTTTATGATTATTAAATTAAACAGTTTTAAAGCCATAATAATCTTTAGTTCATAAAAACGTTAATTAAAAAAAGCGCAAAATTTGGATCATTTGGAACCTTATTTGATTGTCAGCTTTTCAATTTTTATCGATTTTGTCAATCAGTGTTGATTGGCTTTTTTGGATTGATTTGACATTGATCAACACTGATGTCCAATCAACACTGTTTGACAATTCTGTCAATCAGTGTTGATTGAACATTGGATTGATTGATCAAATATCAATCGCTGCATATATATATAACTATTATTATTATTTTTTATATGTTAATTCACCTCCTCAAGGCTGATTTTATAAAGTATTATAAGACACGAAATTGTTATTTTGTATTAATTCGAAAATAACATAACGGTAAAAACCATAACATAATGGTTTTTACCGTTATGTTTTTTCGAATTAATACAAAATAAAAATTTCGTGTCTTATAATACTTTATAAAATTTTAATTGTTTTTCTTCTTAACATATCTGAACAAGTTTATGATTTCAAATTGTTTGCATCTAATTTATTTATTAAAAATTATTTTTAACCAAGTAATTATTATAAATAATTATTATACATAGTTTTAATATTTAAAAAAAGCCTAAACTAAAAGTTTTAAATACTAAATTTAAAAGTTGTTTGAGCTGTAAAAAACTTACAGTACTTGTTCCTCCAGATACAAAGCTGCTAGAATCCAAACAACAAACACATAATGTTTGTCCAACAAAGACATCCTCAAATACTGATAAAAGCTAGACACAAACATTAAAAACTGGTTAATTGTTGCTGTTCAACAATAATTTTGAAAAACAGTAACAGAAAGTTATTATTTTTCAAAATTATTGTTGAAGAGCACATATTTTGTAAACACAAACTTTCAACAAAAACTAACCACAAGTTTGTATTCATTTATAAAACCTAAGAAAATTTTATGTACAGAAACCTTTTCATCACTGGAGTAATAACGTAAGCTGAAATCTCCATAACCCCATCCTAGTCGAAACTGAGTACCAGGAAATAAAGCCTAAATAAAATTTGAAAATAATAAAAGTATGAATGATAAGAGCATGAATGTGATAAAACTCCAATGAATTTAAATATATATAAACCTTATTGCTTTCTGTACAGTAAATTGATCGCTCATTAACAACAATTTGACCAATAGGACTTTTCATTTCTAAATATATTTTCAAATAAAAAACATAATTATAATGAAAAATTTTACATAAGTAAATAATATCTTATCAATTATAAAATAAAACTAAAAAAGTTTTCAATTAAGTAATAAAAGTTAATAAAAAATTTACAACATTAAACTTTATTTATAGTTTTTTTTTTCAACAAGTTTAAAAAAAACTTCAGCAACATGGCTGCAAACAAAACTTCAGCACACCAACACCAACATGGCTGCAAACAACTGCTATTTAAATTATGAGTTACTAGAAAGATATCTTTTTTATCTACTAGGAATGAAGGATATAAGTTACTAGAAAAATGTAGACCAAGTTTTTGTTTGTTTGCTGAAAGTATTAATGTAAACATTGTTGCTATTGATGATGTTTGCTAAAAGTATTAATTGCAAAATAGACTTTAAATCATTCATAACTTGGATTTAAAAGCTTTTTTTTAGTTAGTTGTTGCTTAAAAATGCATAACTTTGAAGTTGGGAAAGGTGATCCAAAAGTTTTTTGTTGTTCATAGTTGCTTTATTTGTACCCCAACCATGTGCAGCATTTTCTGCCAACAGTTTAATGCCATGACTTGATTTTAAATAAATTTCGTTATACCAATCAGCAATTATTAATAACCATTATTATTTCTGAAATCTCTATGAAATTCTGGTTCTTTTGAGACCCAGGTTGATAAACCTTTGAAGAAAAAAATTCATTAATGTATGAGAGCCAGTGTGTAATCAAGGGTCCTGGTGGGTGACCTTTTTCAAAAATTAAATAAAACCAATAACTTTTCTATTACTTTCAAACCAAAGTTCATCTTTTTTTTTATTGAAAACTGGAGATACCAAAAAGTCACATCCCTAACGTCACATGTTAATAAAATTAGATTCCCTCAGTATAGATACCACCAAAAGGTTATAGTTTATTCTAATCTTTCACACAATTATTTTTTTAATTTTATATCATAGTTTTCCTTTTTCAAGGTTAGTTGCTTGCATTGCAACCATGGTGCCTGCTCTAAACTTCATTATGGTGCCTGCTCTAAACTTTATTAAAACCAGCACTACAAAAGTCATATTGGAAAGGTTTCCTTGTTTAGCAATGGAAATCGAGGTTATTTTTGTGTTTTGTTTATAATTTTGTGTTTTGTTTATAATTTTGTTTATAATTTGCTATATTCTGATTTTTTTTTCAAAACATTTGTTTATGCCTATTTTCACATTCTATTTGCATACATTCCTAACTATTATTATAATTATAATAATTAATTACTATTGCTAATTCTTATTACTAGTTATCTTATTCTTATTACTTGTTTTTATTTACAAATATTTTTACTAAAATGTTATTAATCTCATATTAGTTGTTTAAAGAAGCAAAGCGGATCACTGGTTTTGGATTTAAAAATCAATATAATAAAATTTTTCCAAAATTGTTCAGACAAAGTTTTTGAAATTTGCAAATCAAAGTTAACTTTAATACAAAAAAAAAATCATTTTTCCAAACCATCAGTATTTTAATAAATAACAATCCATATTCTTAATGTTTTAACAAGCAGTTTGCAGAAGATAGCTCCTTTTAATTACTCCAGGTCAGGTTCAGGATCACCATTAGCTGCTGCTGGTATCATGTAACCCAGTACTACCTGCCCCATGTCCTATTGCTTTATAAAGTGTGTTTTTTTAGGCAAAGGCTAGCAGAAACAAGCTTAAAAATCCCCTGCCTTCAATCTTTGTTAAATGCATCCAGCTAAAATTCCCCTGCCTTAGGGCTCTTGGTTGAGTAAAGGGTAGAGATGGTGTCTCTATAAGAATACTCATTTTGGACAAATGTTAACTGTATCCAGCTACTTGCTAGTAGAACGCCTCCTAGGCAATGACTTTTGGGGTAAACAGAATAATTCTGCTAACCAGCCTTGAATCCCTTCTTGATCTATTAGGCTGGCATAGATGTAAACCTAGGTTTCCTGCGTAGGATGATGAATGCTGGGTCTTCTTGACTCTACTCATAGATTTTTGGTTGTGCCTTCTTGATAGTGGTTGAGCAACTCTTCCTGTTATATCTTAATGAGGGTACAGCTCTAAAACTCAGTTTATTATTTTTGAGGTCGGCTGGTAGTAAGGTTTCCAAAACTCTGTGGTAGCTCTCAGATTGGCTGATTCCAGCTGATAAATGTGCCTCCTACGCAACCTTCAGTTGTTATTCAGTTATTTTATCGTGCTTTAGATGTAGGCGGAGAGGCTAGAGCTATTGCTCTTGAGATATTTAAAGTTCAACAAAGTTTGGCCTTCTCCATAACCTTGTTTCATATGGTATATCTAGGAAAGTTTTAGAGAATATCAAATTGTTCCTTTCTAACTACTTTTTTATTAAAATCATCCTCAAAGGCCAACACTCTTCTTCATTTCCAGTCACTTCTGTAACAGATTGGGGCTCGCAGTGGCTTGTAAATTTCAACTCCAACAAAACTCAGTTATTTACTGCAAACAATTATTGCAATACTGTCAATATTCCTGTACTAATGAATGGCAAACCATTGTTTTGTATATTATTTAGGATTTGACTTACGACCACCTAATGCAAAGCATATTTATGTTTTTTAAGTTATCAGTTGTTTTGATAATCCAAAGAAAATTTTAAAGTTATTGGTATACAAGTGAAAATAATTTCCCATAAAGTCCTCCATAAAATCTATAAAAATAACTCCTAATTGACAAAATGTATTTATTTATAAAATACTGATCAGTGTAATGCAGTGTAAAATATTGATCAGTATAAAGCAGTTATCTTTTGTGCATTATTTAGGGTTTGACTTACAATAACTTTTTAACGCACAGCATATTTATGTTTTTTATCAGGTGTTAGGACAATCCAAAGAAAATGGTAAAGTTGTTGGTATACAGGTGAAAATATTTTACCATATAGCCCTCCATAAAATCTATAACAAAAATTTCTGTTTGACAATATGTATTTGTTTAGAAATGAGTGTAAAATATCGATCAATATATGTGAAAAAAAGTTGAAGCAAACTAAAATTGTTTTTTTATCAAAAATTATCTTAGATCATAGTCTCTAAATACAACAGTTTAGAATTAAGAAAGATAAACATAAACTTAGATTCAACTTTCAAAACCACAACAGTTAAGAATTAAGAAACATAATTTAGAAATTAAAAAATGATTTAGAAAAAGAAAAACATATACCTTTTCTATTTATGACTACTGTCAAGCATTTACAAAAAATTATTAGTTTAAATTTATCAAACGAGCTGCATTGCTATACACTGCTTTGTTTTAAAACACAGTTCACATTTGAATATACGTGCACTTCAGCTCTGAAAAGAAACTTTTTTCTCCATTACCAAAGTAAGTGTATGTAAAATGAGTTTTCATTGTTAATGTTGAACTATATAAATCAAAAAAGTATCAAAATGTGTGTTAAATAGACAACATCCAATTGTACAGAGTTCTGGAAGTCACAAGTCAAGTGCCTTCAGGGAAAAAACGAGTCAGAAATTATTGTTCACAATTAAACTTGTTTTAATAAAGTACAATTTTTCATTATGGTTATTTTTTAATGGCTGAAGTATCAACCATTGCACTTCACTAAAACATGTTTATAAAAACATGATAGCACTAATTTGAAAAAGTTAATGTTCACAAATACAAAAACCAAATAGAATGAACTTTATGACTTCAAAAATTTTATGATCTCCTGATACTACCAGGGTGATTTTTAATTTACTCTAATTTTTTGTTGTTGTATAATTATTATATGTATGTATGTATGTATGTATGTATGTATGTATGTATGTATGTATGTATGTATGTATGTATGTATGTATGTATGTATGTATGTATGTATGTATGTATGTATATATATATATATATATATATATATATATATATATATGACTATAAAGAGTAGAGAAAAGAGAACTTTTTAGAGACTAACAATTTTCAGAGACTTTTCAAAACATGAAACAAATTGTAACAACTCTCAGAGAGATTTTTAGATCAAATAACTCATCTAGAAATAATTTCTTTGTACATAAGTGCAGTAAGAACTATCTACCAAATATGATTTTCTGCAAACTCTAGTTAGAAAATTCTTAAATATTAACAGTTGATTGGAAAATCTTTTGCAGAATCAGTTTTAGATTTAAATTTTTTTCTTTTTTAATCTACAATCATTTTCTGGGAAAGTTAAACTACCAATTAAATATTCAAAAGTTCACTTTTTAGCATGTCACATTTTTTTTTCAACAAAGTCAAGTTGAGCTCAATATATGCTCAGGAGATTCAATATGTGTTCAATATATGCTCAGGAGATTCAATATGTGTTCAATATATGCTCAGGAGATTCAATATATGCTCAGGAGATTCAATATGTGTTCAATATATGCTCAGGAGATTCAATATGTGTCCAATATATGCTCAGGATATTCAATATGTGTTCAATATATGCTCAGGAGATTCAATATATGCTCAGGAGATTCAATATATGCTCAGGAGATTCAATATATGCTCAGGAGATTCAATATATGCTCAGGTGTTCAACAGATTGATATTCAATATATGTTCAGCTGATTGGTATTCAATTTAAGGCTTGGTTGGGAAGGGGGAGCAATCGCTCTCAAATACCGATCACGGAAGTAATTGTTGCGAAAAACTGGCCAAGTTTTTTAGTCGTTTTGAGAACATTTAAGTTTATGTACGTAACAAAAAATATTTGTTTTACAAACATACATGGAAACATAATAAACTTGAATGTTCTCAAAACACCCTGGTGCGGAAGAATAAAAAGAATATTCGCTAACACTAAAAACCCGCCAAATTAACAAACAAACTAATTCTTTTGGTTCAAAAAATACGCTGACTAAGGGAAATAAAGTTCTAAAGTATTCTGTTGAAATGTTTTAGAAATTGTTAAATTTGTTACATTTTGATATTTCTAGCATAAATTGTTTTAAGAATATATTATCAATACTATGGCTCATTCT